ACTGTTCTCATGTGGATAATGAAGTTATATGTTATGGGGTCCCTACACCATCCCCAGGAGCTCACGGCTGTAGCCCTGTGCTAATCTATCTCATTTAGGGTCTTCTGAGGAGCCTCTACTTTACCAAGCCAAAGGTCCTTTTCCAGAGGTTGGTCATTCCTGATAACATATCCAAAGTTAGTGAGACAAGGTCTTGTCATTCTCGGTTCTAAGACTCATTCCTGTTACATTTCAAGTCAGATCTGTTTGATTTTTTATGGACACCCGTGGTTTAAAGAAGCTCAAGGTTGAGCCAACACCATAATTCAAATGCCTCATTTCTTTTTCTTTTTTTCCAGTGTGGGATTCTTTTATTTTTTTAATAAGAAATAATTTTATTGGGGGCTCTTACAGCTTTTCTAACAACCCATAAATCAATTGTATCAAGCACACTTATACATATACTGCCATCGTTTAAAAAACATTTTCTTTCTACTTGAGCCTTGGTATCAGCTCACAACCCCCATCCTACCACCCATAAACCCTTGATAATTTATGAAATTTTTTCCCATGTCTTACATGGACTGCTGTCTTCCCTTCTCCCACATTTCTGCTGTTTGTCCCCCTTGTGGGGTGGGGGGGTATTATACATCAATCACTGTTATCAGTTTCTCTGGTCCCCCCACCCTCCCCTACCCTCATGGTATCACTACTCCCATTATTGTTCCTGAGGGGTTTATCTGCCCTAAATTCAGTATGTTGAGAGCTTACCAGTGTACATGCTCTGGTCTAGCTAGAACTGGGGTCATGATAGTGGGGATGGGGAAGCAGTAAAGAACTAGAGGAATGTTGTATGTTTTGAGTGTGCTGTACTGCACCGTGTGGCTCATCCTTCCTTGTGACCCTTCTTTGAGGGGATGTCCAATTGTCTAGAGATGGGCTTTGGGTATCCACTAAGAACCTCCTTGTTCGCATTGATATGATTGTTTTGGGTCTTTTGATACCTGATCCCATTCTGACAACTTGTAATCACACTGGCTGGTGTGCTTCTACCATGTGGGCTTTCGTGTTTCTCTGCTAGATGGCCACTTGCTTAACTTCAAGTCTTTTAAGACCCCAGGTGCTACATCTTCTAATAACTGGGCACCATCCGCTTTCGTCACTACATTTACTTATGGACCCATTTGACTTCAGTGATCGTGCTGGGAAGGTGAGCATCACAGAACACCAGGTTATTCTGGAACAGTGTGCTTGTGTTAAGGGAGGACTTGAGTGGAGGCCAATGTCCGCCTGCTACTTTGATACTTAACATATATGCACATAGACCTATCGTTATATATTAATGTATTTACATATATGCATGCCTATATTTATCTCTAGAAATGTTTTGCCTCCTACTTCTTTTCTCCATTTCCTTTCCTCTTGTCCCTCGATCATGTTTGATTTTCATTGGGCTCTCAGTGTCTCCTCAGCTACATTGCACTTGATCAAACCCCACTAGATGTTTTACACCCTCCTAGCCATTGATTTCAGATCTCTTATTGTTCCCTCGTTCCTGGGTTTGTTGGCTCCCCACTCCCTCCCCATCTCCTCTCCCTCCCTCTCTCCCGTCTTCCCATGTTGGTCCTGTTTTCCTTCAGGACTGTTTATCTTGCCTATCTTAAATACAGAAATGAAAAGGCAGGGAAGGATATATAAATAGTTCCAGGTCTGTCTGCTGACCCTTATGTATGTTTTCCTATCATGTCTGATAGGGTGCCAAACTCCACCCTCCGAGTCTGAAGTCTATTTTCGGTATTTGTCGGGGGCTTCGTTGCATTGCTTCTCCTGTTGCTTTGTTGCGTTCCCTTTGTGCTTTGCCCTGGTTTGGGGTGGGTGTCAGACCGAGCACAATTCCCACCCTGTGTCTTCAGTGCTATCCGCTGCAGCCCTGCGGGTCAGTGAGGGACCTCAATTCTTTTTCAATGTCCATATTTTCATGAAGTAATTGCAAATACCATCGTTGTGAAGTGCACCAGTCCTTAACGTACCATCGCAGCCTTGTAACACTTTAAATGGGTCTTCTGCAGTGATCTGCCCATTGTTATATTCCATATGATTTCTTGACTGCTATTTCCATGGGTATTGATTGTGGAACCAGTTAAAATGAAGTTATTTTATAACTTTGCTATTTTCTCCATTTACTATGTTGCTGATTGGTCCAGTTTTGAGAAATTTTTAAAAATTTAATCATTTTATTAGGGGATCATACAACTCTTATCACAATCCACACACACATCAATTGTATAAAGCTCATTTGTACATTCACTGTCCTCATCATTCCCAAAACATTTCCTCTCCACTTAAACCCCTGGCATCAGGTCCTCATTTTTACACTCCCTCCCCGCTCCCCCCTCCTTTATGAGCCCTTAATAGTTTATAAATTGTTATTTTGTCTTATCTTGCCCTGTCCGACGTCTCCCTTCACCCCCTTTTCGGTTGTCTGTCTCCCAGGGAGGAGGTCACATTCCCTGTAATCAGTTCCCTCTTTCCTACCCACTCTCCCTCTACCATCTCTGTTTCGCCACTCACACCACTGGTCCTGTAGGGCTCATCTGCTCTGGATTCCCTGTGTTTTCAGTTCCTATCTGTACCAGTGTACATTCTCTGGTCTAGCCAGACTTGCAAGGTAGAATTCGAGTCATGGTAGTGGGAGCGGGGAGGAAACATTTAGGAACTAGAGGAAAGTTGTATGTTTCATCGTTGTTACATAGAAGGCTGACTGGCTCATCTCCTCCCCGAGACCCCTCTGCAAGGGGATCTCCAGTGGCCTACTAATGGGCTTTGGGTCTCCACTCCGCACTCCCCTCATCATTCACTATGGTAAGATTTTTTGTTCTGATGATGCCTTATGATCCCTTCGATACCTCGTGGTTGCATAGGCTGGTGTGCTTCTTCCACGTGGGCTTTGTTGCCTCTGAGCTTGATGGCTGCTTGAGAATTTTTTTTTTTTAATGCTGAGATGTAGCTCATGTTGTAGAATATATTTTTTAGTTTCATAAGCAAGTGCTTCAAATCCTTATCACTTTCAGCAAGCAGAATTATGTCCTCTGCACATCACACGTTAGTTCTGTGAGTCTTCAATCCTCATGCTAATTTCTTCTGCACATAGTCCAGCTTAACAATTTTTCCAGTGTAGATGGAATAATTATAGTGAAAGGTTACAACCTGACAACACAGCTTTTCTGAATTTAAACAACACAATAACCTATTATTCTGCTCCCATGACTTCCTCCTCACCTATGTGAAGGTTCAGCATGATTCTACACCCTCTTCTTAATCTGGCTTGAAAAATCTCACAGTTCCCTGGTAATGGGATAGCTACAGGTGTTTTTGAATGATCTTCAAAATTTAGCTTTCATGTAATACTATTTATATTGCTCAGAAACTCTGCATTCCATTATTTATAACTTAAAAATTTCAGTCAGTGAGTTTGATCATCTGTTACATGAATTAGCTTATTTTCACACAGAGATATTATGCAAAATTACAACATACTTCTTTATGACTTTCTAGAATTTACATATTCCTTTAAAAGGCCATGTCAACATAAAAACAGAGATTCTCACCCACCTTGCGGCTCTGGGAGTAAGACCTGACAATCTGCTCCTGTAAAACATTACACTCTGGAAAACTCTATAGGACAGTTCTCTTCCTTCACACTGGCTCCCTTTGAGTCAAAGGCATCTGACATCAAGAGCAATACTTTTGTATTTTCGCTCTGCTTATGTGTGGCCTCTTAAGTAATTAATTTTGAATTTATGTGCTTGCAAAGTATTTTATCCCTTTCAATTAGCCAACTAACTGTCTCAACAACATCTTGCTGGCAATTAATCCTTTTCTGCTGGCTTCAAATATCACTTTATTATATCTCTTTTATACTAATAATCTACTTCTAAACATTTCCATTCTAAGGATTTATCTATTTCTGTGCCATAATAAACTATTTACAACACATCTGCTACTTTACAAGGTGCTTTAACATCTGGTAGGGCTAACTTTTCTTTGGATTTTTGAGTGAAATAAATTTTCTGTTTCGCTTCAGTTCTTTTCCACTCCCTTGGAGTTTTTCTTTCTTTTTTAAAATTAAGATCCTTCCCTCTAACAGATGCTTTCATCTAATATGTAATCTTTTTACATTCTTATTTGAAGCAGATCCTGTACATTATACGCCTTATTCCAGAAAGGTTTAGAGAGTTCTTCAATATCAGGTCAGATGCTAACAAATGACAGAGATGGCATTCAAACTAAGAAAGTCAGACTCGAGAGGCAGCACACTTTTAATTACTATATTAAATGGTCTTCTGCAGTGGTAGGAGAGATTAAATCATAATAATAAGAACCAGAAGGGCTTAAATAGTTTCTCTACTGATCTTGATTTATAATCCAATATTCAGATGTAAAGAGACACTGAAAATATTACTACATTTGGGGAATTACAAAGTATACTAACACATACAATCAAATAATCAACTAATCTTTTTTTCTAGTTCTTTTTTTTAATCGTTTTATTAGGGGCTCATCCAACTCTTATCACAATCCATACATAAATCAATTGTGTAAAGCACATTTGTACATTCATTGCCCTCATCATTTTAACTAATCTTAATAATATGTTAGAGAAACCTAGTTGAAAATGAACAATTTTTACATTTTATGATACTATAC